AGACTTTGCTACATACTCCACAGCCACAGCGCAGATGTGCACGGAGTTGGGGTGGACCTGAAGGAAGGACTGGTGTGAGCGAGGGAGTCCCTTTCTCAGTGGCTCTCCTTGCTGGGCATCCAGAGTCCACTGCCCTAGGTGCCGCCTCCCTGGCAGAGCTGGTGCCCTTCACCTTAGAGGATGAGGCAATGGAGTAGTAGCGGGCCTGCAGTCGTGGTAGGAGCTCACACAGGTGGTCGATGGGAGGCCGCAGTGATGGGTAGTCTTGGAGAATGGCTAAGATGTGCCTCCGGGCCTCCACCACCCAGCTCAGGTACAGCTCCTGGGGAGACACAGAAGGAAGGTATGGGCAGCCTGCAGCGTGTGTGTTGGGGGAGGGGATAGAGGCAGAGGGTGTGCAGGCTCACCTTGCCCTCGCCTGAGGAGGAGGCCATCTTGTGCAGCTGCTCCTGCTCCGAGGGATCCGAGGCATACTGTGCCAGCTCGTAGAGCACATTGGTGCGTGGTGGGTTGGTGATGTCCAGGTAGTAGGTGAGGGCCGTACGGTAGGTGGTGGGGCAGGGGAACGGATGCTTCTTGTTGGACTCCTCTGCAGCAGAGAAGGACTGAGTGAGTGGTCACCCCTGGAGCAGGGTGGGTGTCATAGAGGATGGAGGTGCTGCAGGCCCTTGTAGCAGAGAGCTGACACTCCAGCCTATTCTCTAATGCCTCCTTGACTCTGGCAAGGCTCACGCTTTCTGCCAGGCATGAACTTCAGGCCAGGCAGAAGTGCCCATCACAGGGATCTAGCCATGGTAGGCATCCAGGCCTTAGAGGAAGCTGTATGAGTGTGTGTGTATGTGCATGTGTGTGCACGTGCGTGTGTTTGAATGAGAGTGTGAGCGTGTATGTGCGTGTGTTGGCTAGCTTGAACAAAACCAGCTCCTTTTCTCCTAGTCCATGTGCTCTACTGCAAGTCAATAAGGGCAGTGCCAGGACATGGGTGAAGGAACCTAGTAGGCACCAAGGGTGCTAACCCCAGTCCTTACATTTACCTAGGAGTAGGGAGGCAGCAGCCCATGGCTACAGAGGTAGTTGTGAAGCCCAGGCCTGAGACACAAGGCTTGGTTTAGCAGCCCCGGTCCAGGAGGATGTGTGGCTGGGCGCAGCTGGGCTGGTTCTGCCTCCTGGCCTCAGGTGTCCTTTGTAACTATGACAGGGATGGAGGGCTAGACCTCATTACACAGAGTCTTAGGGCATGGGGCTTTAGCACCTGGGCCGCAGGCCAGAACCAGGCCTCTGATTTCAGAACTCACCATCGAGGTTGTTTAGAGACATGACAACATCCAGGTCAGCCCCGAGGATCTCCCCAATCTGGTTGACCAGGGTGGCGTCATTGGCTGGGTACACAGCCACATGATCCCCAGATTCATACCTAGAATGGAAGCACAAGGCTCAGGAGGAAGCCAGCAGATGACTCAATGCCAAGTTTGCTCCAGGCAGAGGTGGAGGTGGCAAGTACCTGATCTTTGAATCTGAGATGTCCAATTCCAAGTGCATCAGATGCCGCTCAGTGCCCTGG